TTTAGCATGCTGGTCTTATACGCAAGCTTCAGGAATACGGTATTACAGGGTGTTTGATTTAATCCGATCATTCCTATCAAATTGTGAAATGAAGGTCATTCTGAATGGGCTCACTTCCTTTCACATGAACGCAGTGTCCTACGCTGTTTCTGATGTTCATCAATGCTCTTCCTGATGTCAACAGTTCCCAAGTAGGTATTTATGCTGATGACACTACCATTTATTCCTGTCAGAGCTGACAAAGTTAATGTGGCTGCTGCTTTTGAAAAGGACTTCCAGTCAGTGGTTAATTGGGGCAGGAAATGGCTTGTAAATTTTAATGCCTCCAAAACTAAACTGCTTTCATTTAACCACCATAGAGAAACTTCCCTGCCTGCCATCAACGTGGCTGATGAGTGAGTCTTACTGTGCCTTCTTTTCCTCACATTTTCAACCAACTTGAAGTGGAAAAACTACATTGAATCAATAACTGCATCTACTGCAAGGAAAGTTGGTTCATTGTGTCTTGTCAGAGTCCCTCTTGCACATTTACAAATGCACAATTTGGTCATGCATTGAATACTGTTGCCATATCTGGTCTGGTGCTCCTACTATTCATCTCGAGGTTCTTGACAAAATCCAAAGAAGGATCAACAATATAATCGATCCTAACTTGACATCTCGGTTTCAGTCACTTTCTCACAGACGTGATGTGGCTTCCCCTGTCTTTTCTACAAATAATTTTGTGGCAGCTGCTCTGACAAGCTTTTTTAGCTGATGCCCCAACTATATGAATTTAAGCATGCTACTAGATTGGCATCTAGGTCCCACTCTTTTACTGTTGAAATAGTTAAATGTAACTGCCACTTCTACTCCAACAGTTACTTTTCTTGCACTAAGCAACAATGGAACACCCTTCTGTTTACTTACTTCCCTGAAAACTACAATTTTCAAAATTTTAAATGCAAAGTCAATCGCCATCTTCTGTCATCTTGAACCCCATTCATCTTTTACCCTTTCCTCAATCCCCCCCTATACTCAATCTTTTCTTACACTTTCACTCTCTGTAACCCCCTGCGTACTAGTAGCATTGACGCTTTGCTTGAGGTGAAATGATTAAAAAGAAAGAAAGATATGAACATATTATCTCTGTCTGCTTAGGTAGATAGATAGATAGATAGATAGATAGATAGATATTATTTCTTTCTATGTGTGATAATAATAGACAGTCAGGTAAATCAGCCAGGTAAATGATGGAGAATCTGACATAATTTGACACTGTCAAAAGCAATAAAAACTAATGACTCATTTGATAAATTTTTATATTATGTTTGTTTTCATACATATGTATGTACAATTTTTTAAATTTCATGTTTTCAGGACTTTCAATCGAAGAGATATTGCATTGGTATACTAATGATTCAGTGCAACATTTATTTTGTAGAGGGCAATTATGAGGGTTTCTACAGTTACATAGTTTTTGTTTATTTCCATCAGTTTTTATCTTTATTTTTCCATTGTCTAAATTTTTTTGGTTTTGGTATAAGTGTTTATTTAAGATATTAGTATTATGGTTCTTAATGATTTTTTCTAAGTTTTCTGTACAGCTATAACTCAATTTTAGTGTGTTTTTATTGAAAATAGTACTTAGTTTACTTTCACTGGAAAATGCTTGATTATTAATGCGAGGAATTTATATCCTAATTTGTTCTTTACCATTTGGTTGTATGGGGGAGTATACCAAATAATTTTTCTACATCTGTTTTTTCTATGCTTTCCATTTTCATATTTTAGTTAGTTTTGGGTTTTTGTAGCCACTCTCTTTTAGAGCCTTATTATAGGAATTGATATGCTCATCGAAAATCTTGTCATTTGCTGAATTTGTACTAATTCGTTTACTGATAGATAACGGTATATGTTTAATTATAGATGGGGAGGTGATTTGATTTAGGGTGAATATATAAAGGATTGGTGTTGGGTTTTTTATAAGGTGTGTATGTATTTTTATTTAGATCTAATGTTATATCTAGGAAGTCCACTTTTTTTAATTTAGTACTAACCGTAATTTTTAAGCCCATGCCTTTAAATGCTTTATATAATAACTTTCTAATTCTATCTATTTTGAAGTTTGTTGAGTTTCTAATAACCATAAGTCCATCGTCTCTGTACAAACCAATGTCATTTGTATTAATATCATAGTGCACTGTAAGGTTGTATAATATAAAAAGACCAATGAGATCAGAAGACTCAGCTGAGTCTAGTGATCCCATTGTGATATATATATATATATATATATATATATATATATATATATATATATATATATATATATATTGAATAAAAACAGACCACTTTAAGGTTCCATGTAATAAGTTATTTCACTACAAACCCTTTAACAGGGCTCTGGATCATCAGACTTTACTTCCAAAGGTTGAAATGAAAAATGAAAAGAAATTCACACATTTTTGACGGGCCGCATCAAACATATGTAAAATTAACGAAGTGAGGAAGTATGGTGGGAGAGAAGATATATATATATATTAGTCAACCCAAAATGGCCTGAAGATTGTGTTCAAGTATGAAAAAGACTGTGGCTGCTCGATTTTGACTTCGTCCTCCACTTTTATATTATATTGGTATTAACCAACTGATATTGATAAAACTTACTGCATATGTTTATATGATAAATGTATAACATGAATTTCAGGTTATAATATTTGTTGTTATAATATCTGTTTTTATTAGAAATATTTCCAATAATTTATTTGATGATTTTATGTGACTTGAAAGTTGTTCATCATATTGTAAGTAAATATATATAATAGTACAACCACTGATATTTGTTTTTTAATGTCATCTGTATAAAGATTGTTATGGATTGCAAGAAAGATGTAATCTCAAAATGAAACAAAATATCAAATGATAAAAACATGACTTTGAAAATTGAAAAAATGTTTAACACAAATTGCTAAAGTAATTGAAAACATTGGTAAATAGCTCTGAGAATGTCAACAAAAAGAAGACATTTGAGAAAAACTAAAAGACTAATATAGAAGAAAAGTGGATTGATCAGAAAGAAAATATTTGAAGAAGCTGGTATTGCAAATATAAACAGAAAGAAAAAATGCAGAAAATATTAGGAAAATTGTCTAGACATGAATGCAACCAAACATGAAATAAACATCACAAAGAGAAACATACCAGTTTGGTAAATAAGTACATGAAAATTGTTTTCTCAACATTATCTTCCATATATTATGAATGTAGAGCTACATTGGTTGGACTTGGCGGTTGGGTGAAACTTTTGGGCCTTCACAAAAATAGTCAAACATCACAACTTATAAGACAACAGTTGGGAGGTGGATTAATATTTTCAGTTGGTATTGTAGGCAGGAAAATTATAGATTCTTTCAAAGTTGATGATGATATCAAGATAATTGCAGATAATTATTTTAAGTTCTTTCACAAGATATTTTTAATCAAACAAATCAAGAAACTAAGCTAAAAATTATATTCATGCACAACAATTGCTCACTTGGACAAAAATGTTTAAAAAATACACGAATACTGAAATGGCTCCCAATCTCTCCACATATTAATCCAATAAAAAACTTGTAGTCTATCATTAAAAAAGATGTATATGAGGATAGAAAAGAATATGCACTCAAAGATCTCTGGGAAGCAATAAAAATATTGCAAATAAGTCAAAACAGTAGAACAGTTTAAAAGACCTATAGAGGTTACAGGATATCAAAGTATCCATATTAACAAGTAAAATAATAATTTATTTAGGTACATAGGATATTGTGTTAATCAAATATGTTTCTCTGGCCTATATCTTTTGAATTTATTCATAAATAAAACTTTGTGTACATAGTATGTTTGCATAGTAAAAATCCGACATCCTCAAAATAATTTATTAACAATATTTTTAATAAGGCTAGAAAATGAAACTTAAAAATCCTTGATATTCTATAACCTCTATGACACGGATATAAATATATCCTTAAAAATTAACAACAGTAATCTTTACAAAATAGCTTGTTTATCATTTCTGTATGGTGGGCGTCACATTGCTTTACTTTTTCACTCTGTAGCCAGCTCCACCATAGCACAATAGTTAGTAAACTTGTTTCATAGGTTATTTGAAGTGAATTTGATTTTCTCTCAGTACCTCAGGATTGTAAGCCTTGTGCCAGATTAAATGAACTGATAATGATCTATTTTCCAATATGATCACAGTAAGTGATGTTTGAATCCAGGCAAAAGAAAAAAAAGGATTTAGAGAATGTTGATATTGGCGCAATACAATCTTCCTATCCAAATTTCTTGTCGTTTAGCTTATACCACTGATGTTGGTATGTACTTTGTATTCCTTTTTTCATACTTACCTAGATCATTATACACACACATTTTTAGAGATATATAATTTCTGAACCTTTCTTTCTCTACCCGAAATGCAACCTACGTATATGTGTACCCTTTTGTCTTTTCTCCATCTCGTCCCTTTCACAAGTACAAATACGCGAGCACACACACACACACATATCCATATTGATGTACCCCTTTTTAACCCCTCCCCATCAGCAAACGCGTATAAGTTTATGTCTACATATGTATACCTTTTCCATGTTCCTCTTTCTGAGACACTCTCCCTACCCCGAATTGCCTGACTGTCACAACAATTCCTCTCCATCTCAATCCTCTCTGTCTTTCTTTTCTCTCTCGCTCCACTCAGACGATGTCACCTTACTCCTCGTTTGACTTTTAAAAAAAGTGTCGTAGCATTTTCCTCTTTATGTTTCTCTTAACACCACTCTTCCCTCTCTCTCTATATGTGTGGTTACCTTCACCTTGTCTCTCCACCTTTTCCTCCCAACCAGATGTGAATTGCTTTACTTTTTCGCTTTGTCGATCTTTCTCTTCACACCAGGAATTAATTAGAGAGGATTATTACCGCTGCCCGAACAACAACCCATTTTTCTAGTCTACAGCTACAGTTTTCACTTGAAGCTTATACCATGGATGTTGTCAAAGAAGGTTTCGTGAAAATCAAGAGTAAACGTTATGGAGTAAGTAAAAAAACTTTTATTTCGTGCACTTCTCAGTAAACTTTTTTTTATTTTATTTCAAATCAAATAAAAAAAAAGAAGCTAATATTGTCCCATCCTCCTTGTAACGCGAAGTTTGTTGAGTCTCTAAAAATATCTTTGATTTTTAAGTTTAATTTATTTACATTTTTCCCTTTTGCAAATTGAGATGAAAAAAAATAAATAAATGAACGTTTTTGTCGGCTCTTTAATTTTTTGTAATTTGATTGAAAGAACAATCAGAATTTTTTTTATTAATTTAATTACACTGTTAGGTTGTTAGTTGTTGAAAATAACGATTTTGCAAATAAACTTTCATGTTTTTTTTTTTTTTTGAGGATGCGAATGTTTTTTGTTTGCGTGTAATTCAAAATTAATTTTTTTTATTCTTTAAATTTCATATTTGACTTTTTCTTCACCTCCAACCAACATTTTTATTTGTTTTTAATTTCGCAGAAACTTCAATAGATAACTTTTTAGTTGCATGGTTTCTTTTTTTTTATGCTAACTTTTCGTTAGATTGGAAACTCTCCTTTTTATTTTTCTCCTTATTTCTCTAACGTCCAAACCAAACTGACTGTCCTTTACGAGGATCGAACCGTAAACAACACGCATTATTGTCAGTGTATTTTTTGCCCTTTGTACTGAATAATAAAAAATAATTAAAAAAAAAAAAAAACCGCTTAATTTCGTTTACTTATTTGCCAAGTATCTTTATTCGCTTTTTAACAAACAACCAAATGGCCTTTTTAAACGGGTCGGGAGGACGATCTGTACAGTTTTTGATTGTCAAAATCTTCAATATTTTTAATGTCTATCTTACTTTAAGTAAGATATTAATATTTTTTTATTGTCTATCTAAAAAAAAAAAAAAAAAAAAATTCCGAATTTTTAAAAATTTTATTTTGTTTTTTCTCCGATTGATTGATTCCCACTGTCAAAAAAAGAAATTATAAAATACCCGGAATTGCGAATACTTTTTATTTTTCAGGAATTCTTTTTACATGTGAAACAAGCATTTAAATTTTTTTCCTTCTAATTCCGCTTTAAAAACTGAATTCAGATAATTTTTTAAATCTTGAAATCTACTGTTTTTGTTTGTTTTTCTTTAATACTAATTTGAAATTACAGATGAAAAACTTTTAAATAATTATTAATTTAAAAAATTACAGTCGAACTTTCCCAGTGTACTGTTAAAAAACTCAATTGTGAATAATTTTTTTTACGTTTCATTCTCAATCAATATGTTTATGATAGTTTAGTCAAGAACTGTTATTTACCTTCCTCATATCGCTAAATGCTTCATCACGGTAGAATTGTTTCAATTCTAAAAAAAAAAAGAAAAAAAATTAAATCCTGACCAAGCTAAAGTTAGTCTGGTACACGGCCATATTAGTATTGAGTGCACTACGAACTTACTAAACGAGGAAACTGATCTACAAACATTTAAAAAACCAAAAAAATTTTTAGGTGGCCAAAAGGTTTTTTTTTTTTATTTCTTCTTCTTGGCCTCCCAACGAAGGCAAGATGTGACGCAAGGTCGTGCAGTGCCAAATCCTCACGACCATTGTCACGCTGATGCCAATATTTTAGTCACTGACCCCCACACCTCATTGCAGTGAGGAAGGTGCTGTCGCAGAGTTGGAATTCCCGGGATCAGACGCCTTCTCTCATCTCGATTGAGGAAAACAGATACTACGCTTTCATCCCGACCAAAAGCCGAGAACGGGTTTTTAATTCAGTTTTAAAAAAAAAAATCCGTATTTGCGCTTGTGTACCAAATTAAACTGAGTATTATTTGCAACGGTAAGCTGAGTGTAACACTAACATTTTAAATCGAAATTCAAATGTAAGAGTTAAAACGAAACGAAATTTTGTTGATCATGATTGGTGAGTCTTGTCTTGTGGCAGACACTGGTTTATGGGATGTTGTTCTCTTGCTGTTCTAAAATGCCCACCTGTTCCAGAGAATAAGCAAGTGACATACTTATTTATACGAATATTAATCACCTGTTGTTACCTACTGACTATAAACACTTTAAACAGCTTGCGTTCTTTCCTCTCCCTAAGCTGATAATTGTCATTAACAAAAAATAAGAAAAAAAGAAGCGATGCCTATGCTCTGGTTATTTAGGGTTAAGGTAGTGCTGCTGCTGCTGACCATTTACTCGTGTCAGCAGGTGGGCGGGTGGTTGGTTAGCCTTTATTCTTTTTGCGCTCTACACGAAAAAGTTTTTTATTTCGTCTCCTTTGCCCTCTTATTTTCTTGTAAGTACTTTTGAACTTTCTTCTACCCCACCCCAACCATGACCTCCGACAAGAAAAGATACCGTCACCTGTACGGCTCGCCCACCTTTCTCTTTTTCTTTTTCTGCCTCAATAAACTTTTCTTTAAACCCTAGTACTTTTTAGTCGTTTACCTATTTCTCTCTCTCTCTCTCTTTTTTTTTTCTTTCAAATATGTTGTAAAAAAATGTAATGACCTCCTATAACAAGGAACGAATTAGGTGTGTGTGTATGATTCATTTCATAATTTACCACTTGATGTTTTGTAAATTACGAGAATGAAACTCAACATCTCTTAATTTTCTTTGAGTTTGTTTAAAACAAAAAAATCTCTCCTTAACGATAGTGCTTCGCACTTGTTGATCACCATGATACTAATAAACTCGGAACTTCTGTAATATTTTTTGAATTTATCCAAAGTCGTCTGCACATGTTTGCTTAAAATCTGCAATTCTTCCCCCACCATCTATCTGTCTGGAGAATTTGGGACATTGAACCTTGTTAACCTGACTGCTTGTGTAGCATTTCACTTTCAGTCTTTGTCTTCTGAACCAGAAATAGAAACACAAGTGAATGCATTTTCTTGGTCAAAGTCAAGATCATACTGTTGTACATCTTTGCTTTTATTAAGAAATAACATCTCTATTGAGAATTTAGTTACAGGTGCAAATAACATTATCCTTTCTTTTCCCCTGTGATGCTCCAGGAAGAGTTTGATAAATGTCATTTATTAACACATTTAACTATTGATGACTGGAATTTCTCTCTTTTGTAGTTTTCTGGTTCAACTGCAAATAAAATTCTGCTCTTGTTAGGGCCTAGGCTAATTGGAACCCTAGATCAATGCTTGATTATTTATTTACATCTCCATGTTTAGTGCCTCTTTTAGCTTCAATAGAGTGTCAATGTAGCCCAGAATATTTTTGAAATGCTTACACAGTTAAACAAAGAAGGTAGGCTAGCAGGCTAAAAATAGACTGGTGTGCTGGCAGACTGCCATACACAAAAGAATTAAAAAATAATTTATATTTCATGAGTTAGTGTCATTGTATTCAATCAGTAAGGCTTGATATTTACTCAGTTTAATCTAGTATAAGGCAAGGATGAAGAGATGGCCATTCTGACTGCCTTCATAAATCAACATTTCATCTTTTTGGTTCAAATCCTGGTTGGAAAAGCACAACTATTTCACCCTAGCATTTGGGAATTTAAAAATTATATAAATTTTATTTATTTTAAAGATGCAAACATTTCAAAATTTACGTCAGTAAAAATTGATATTTCAGAAAGTTAACTTGTATGACATTTTAATATTCAGTTGTCCTAAAGCAGTGTTGTATAGAAGCAACCAATTATCAATTGACTGGAAGTAAAAAAAAAAAAAAAAAAATACTGTCCCTCATTGTATAGTTATCACTTCCCAGATTGTAGGTCTGTGCATTAGTGGATTATTCCAAGCAATTCAAATTTAGAGTGGAATCATATTTATAGTTAGAATAATTAATTTTAACAAAACAATCGTGTCAGTTTAAACAGTTGAGAGAAAATGTAGAAAACAATTCCCAAGATTGGAAATTCTCACACATTAGACCAAAATTACAATTAAAGAAATGGAAAAGATAAATTAATATTTATATAAAAAATACATAGGTATGTTTACTTTTCTTACTCAGCCAAGTTGAGTAGATTGAAAAAAAAAACTGTTTTCAAATTGGACTTTTGCATTTAAATAAAATATTTTTCACAAAATTTCATGTACAAAATATTAATCTTTTAACTTTAGAAAATGCTTGCACTCATATTATTTTTATTATAGAAAAAAAAACTTGGCAAAGAATTGGTTTGGGCAAATATATCTATTTTAGCAAATGTTTAGATTTGGGTCTTATGAAAGAATCTTTCCATGCGTCATTCATAAATCTGTAATAAAGTCAACTTATTATTAATGGATATTGTTTTAGACATATGTAGTGATATCTGTATACTTAAGTTTTAATGAGAATCTCAAGTAGATGCAAAAAGAATATTAAATTTTAAGAGGCAAAGAAGTAAAATTATTTCTCATCAAACCTTGGATTATTTTGGCAGGTGGCATGGGAGATTTAGGGGATATACACTCCCTACACATATTCACTTAATTGGACAGGAAACAATTTTTCAGGTATGAAACTGTTGACCTTATTTGACTGATCTGCCAGAAAAAACGAGTCAACTATCATATCACAAAATTGTATATTTTTTTTTTTTTTTTTTTTTTTTTTTTTCAAAATATCTTAAACTGAAATGACCAATTCTAATTCATATCAAAATATTTTCTTCCCTCAAATGCCATGGCATGGGTCTCCAGATTCCTTTTCTTTATTATCTATGACTTGCTATAAAGTCTTAGGGAAGAATTTAGGAAAGAGTGTTTTGAATTCAGAGTAATCCTTCTTCTATACTGGCTGCTAGTCAAGGTTAGAAACCCCATTCCACTCTATTAGAAATGGATTCATGCCTTACTCAATGGCATTAGTGCAAAAGTGAATGTAACTGACTAGGCTGGGATTTGAACTTGGCTCATTGATTCCACTGTTCATGCTGATATTCATATACAAAACAGATGTGTCCAAAATTTAAAAAAAAAAGAAATCGGCTGATTCGAGCCACTCAATTGAGTCTTTTCTGGTGGCTTACATTGACTTTCAATCATTGCT